GGGGAACTATGAGCAATAAAATAGGTTAAAAGGGCTAGGCCAAGTACTGGGAACCAGTACTGTGATAAGTACAAAGGAGCCTTACAGGCTAGGAAGCATTTACACTCACAGGATAGGCAATATTACTGAAGAAGTCTAGAAGACCTCTTCTTTCTAACAACAGAAAAAAAAAGACATTTATAGTTATGTCAGGAAAAAAAATATAAACAAAAGAGCCACAGGTGATCTGTAAGGACAATAATGATTAAACCCAAGGGCCAAACTATACAGAATAGCCATGAAGAGCAGTGTGATTTATTAATTCCTTAAATTAAGCAGCTACTATGTGCAAAAGCACTGTATTAGGTAGGTACTATGAGGGATTAAAAAGGTATTTAATAATCAATAAATATTATTATAGAATAATACTGGGCACTATACTAGGCATTAAGGATACAAAAGCAAAAATGAGACAATCCCTGATTTCAAGCTTATGATTTACAGGGAAAACAACATTCTATAAATGTAACCATATTTCAAAAGCCTCTCTTATAGAGACTAGAGGATCTGTCTCTAAAAACAGACAAACTAGGAGTTCAATTGTAACTATCCTGCTAGGAGGCATTTTTCCCTAAGGAGTTTAAATTTGATCTATAAGAATTTATGAGATAAATTACGGAGAAGTGAGATACTAGGTGAGGAGAAATTTCAACCTGGTAAGAATTGTCAACAGTTATTTCAAGCAATATTATAGGGGCAGCTAGGTGGTGCAGTGGATAGAGTACCAGTCCTGAAGTCAGGAGGACCTGAGTTCAAATCTGTCCTCAGACCAAACACTTGACACTTACTAGCTGTGTGACCCTGGGCAAGTCACTTAACCCCAACTGCCTAAAAAAAAAAAAAGCAATATTATGATGAAAATTTTCTGAAAAGTGGAGTCTGGAGAGAGACTATTTAAAATGAGAGTTTGAAAGAGAAGCTGAAGATGCTATTTTCCTGCCAAGTTTGGAGAATGACTAAAAGAGATCATAGAGAAAGATGGAGATATCAATAATAACACTATTTGTGAAAATACAGTATTTATTTTATCTTTTTTTTGGGGGGGGTGTTAAGCAATGGGGTTAAGTGACTTGACCAAGGTCACACAGTGTTAAGTGTCTAAGGCCAAATTTGAACTCAGGTCCTCCTGACCCCGGGCCGGTGCTCTATCTACAGTGCCATCCCTAGGGCCCCCTATTTATTTTTATAGTGAGAAGAAAATGAAGAGAATTCTTTCTTACCTTCATTTCGTATCTTGAGTGACCTAAATGGTATGTTTTCAGAATAGGACTACGGTTTCAAAAAGGAAGAGAAGTAATCTGCAATTGAACTAAGGTTTGAGGTGGTTCTGGCTGTGATCCTTAAGACAAAACATTACAAATAATTATCTGTCTTTATTTTGTTATTTATGTTACTGTTAACAAATTCTATGTTTAATAACTTTAGTATATAAGTTATTCCCAGTTGTACAAGTTACCTGATCCTACAAGATGAGATCTCTTTCCCCCAATCCTTAACATAACATCTGCCCAAGCAAATGGACATATCTAGTATTTCTCAGGGAGAAGGAACAGAAGGGTGTTGGGTCCCTAATCATTTCTTAATTATCAATTATTAATTATCATGTTAAGAAAAGAAACAAGCTAAAATTCCTAGCTGGGGAGTAGGTTTTAAAAGGAAAAAAAAAGAACTTATTTCAATCCAAATCACCACCTAATGTCATCACTTTTAAACACTACCCTCAATAGAAACTGAGTTACACAAGATTCAGAAGCAAATATAGGAGGATAGTAAGGATTCCAACTACCAAGGTAAGGACTTTCTACTCAACAAAACCTGAGAAAATTGTAAATCAGTCTGGTGGAAATTGGGTTGGACCAGTGTCTCTCACCATGTCACCATAAGCTCCAAAAGAATACATCATAAACAAATTAGAGAAGCAGGTAAAGAGATACCTTCCACAACTATGGATAGGAAAAGAGTTTTTGACCAACTAGGGATAAAGATTACAAGAAATAAAAATGACAATTTTTATTTTATGAAATTTAAGGTTTGCACAAATTCAATGCAGTTAAATTTAGAAGGGAATCAGTTAACTGGGAAAAATCTTTGCAGCAAATTTCTCTGATAAAGATCTGATATCCAAAATATATAGGAATTTAACAAACATAAGAACAAGAGCCAATAGCTAAAAAGTCAAAGGATATGAACACAAAGTATCATCAAACAACCATATGAAAAAATACTTCTAATCACCAACAATAATAGAAAAGCAAATTTAAAAAACTGAGGTTCTACCTCACACCCTACAGATTGTCAGAGATGACATAAAAGGAAAAATAATTACTGGATAGGATGTAGGAAGACTGTTGGTAGAACTGTGAATTGTTTCAGCTATCCTAGAATTTGGAATTATACCCCAAAAGTCACAAAATTTACATACCTTTTGGGTCTGAGTATATCACTGCTAGGCCTGTACCCACAAAAAAATCAAAGAGGGAAAGGACTCATATGCGCAAATATACACATATACTTATATTACATTATATACACATATAATATTATACATGTATAATATTACATATATCATACATGTATAATATTACATATATTATATGTGTATAATATTGCATATATTATACATGTATAATATAATAGCAGGACATTTTATTACAACAAATATCTGGAAACAAAAAGGGTGCCAGTCAATTGGAAATAGCTGAACAATTATGGTATAGGAAAGCAATGGAATATTATTGTGCCTCAAGAAATGACCAAATAGTTTCAGTATGAGGAAAACATGACATGCAGAAATGTGCTTGTCCAGATTCATCACCTTCCAAATTTATGGGGATTCACAAAGTACGATTTGATAGACTGTTTTGTTTTTCATCACTCACACAATATTGAAAGGACGATCCTTGTATATTTTAGACATCATCTATCAAAAGAGGGCTCCAGAGAGAAAAAAAATACAGTAAAAACTTGTTGGACTGATGGTTCTATGAAAGTGTCATCTTCGAATATGAAAGACCACTCTATCATCTTCATATTTTATGCTGCTAGCAAGTTTACATAATCTGTTTCCTAGTGGTTTAAATTGAAGTTTTTGTTCAAATGTGAGCAGCTTTGGATCAGTGTTGTAAATTAAAGTTATTATTAATCTAAAAAAAAAGAAAGAAATGACCAAAGAGGGGCCAGCTAGGTGGCGTAGTGGATAGAGCACTGGCCCTGGATTCAGGAGGACCTGGGTTCAAATCCAGCCTTAGACACATAACACTAGCTGTGTGACCCTGGGCAAGTCACTTACTCCCGCTGCCTAACCCTCCCCCCCCCCCAAAAGAAATGACCAAGTGGACAGATTCAGAGGAACCAGGAAAGGCTGCATTAATAGCTTTAAAGTGAAATGAGCAGAAAGAGAAAATAACTCTGAAAAGATTTAAAAATCAAGCTTCCCATCACTTGACACAAAGTGATGGAATAAATGCAAAAAGGAACATACATTTCCTAACGAAAGGCTTTTTGTTATGTGTTGCTTGATTGTACTTACTTGAAGGGAGGACAGCAAGAGTGGGGGGAGGGGGAAAAGAAAAATAAAGAAGGAAAAAAAGTCAAGGAAACATTTTAAATTACAAATGGAGAACAAAAGAAACTTCAGAAAAAGAAAGCCAAGCAAAACCATTTTCTTGGCCACTTCCACAGGAACACATGTCCCCAAGGCATTAACTTTTCACTTTCAAGCAACAAACTTCTTAGTCTTTCTTTTTTACTTAAAATAAACAAACACACACACACAATAATATTCCATCTATCTCTTCCTTCAAAATCCTCAAACAGTGGGTCCAAAAACTACAAAACTGCGTGGCTAGGAAGAGAGAAATCTTGAGTTGGAGGAAACCTTTTAAAAGATATCAGCGTTACAAAGAATAAGTGACACCACGTGGGCCATTAACGACCCAGGAGGAAAGAAAATCCCATCTTCCCAGCCCAACAATCCCTTCCTTACGACAAAACAAAAGGGGCTCCCCACCGCAAGTGGGCTCTTTGGCTTCAGTCCTGCCCAGGGCCCTCGAGGCTTCCGGGTGCCACCGGTCTACTTTCTCAGAACTTGCCCAAGGTTCCTCATAGCACCCAGGACTCTTGTTTAGCGTGTGTACAATTTCCAACACGTGCAGCACCCTTCCAAAGTAAAATATTTGCCCCGTTCGCCGGCCAAAACCACCAGAAAACGTGTAATCCATGCCAAAACCCATTTTCAAATCCATCAAAATTTAAAAAAGAAAGTACCGGTGTTATTAGCTTCCCAAAATTTCCACACCTAACTTTAGAGACTCGCTTCCTCACCCCAGATTTAGATACCAAGTCAGGCAAGGAAAAAAATACTAACTGTAGCCTAATTACAAAGTCCCCTGGAGTTTCTCTAGGGAATTCCAAGTGACATTTGGAATTCTTTTTCAAAATACTTAACTTTGTCCTCCCGGAAAGAGGGAGGAAGTGGCTTAGCCAACATCCCGGAGATCTGGGGGTGGGTGAGATGGAGGTGGGGGCTCCCATTAAGTATCGCAGTTTGCAATCACGAGCAGTCCTAATTCAAAGGCATTAGGTTAAAGAAATTGGACTTGAGGTAGGGGAGGGAAGCACTGAAAACCGATTGTTTTCCAAAGAGGGGCAACACCCTTGCCCTGACTTGTCCAGACAGACTCACAGCAAACAAAAGGTGAAGCAGGAAAAATTTAATTTTAAGGGGGTGGAGGAGGAAGCTGGTTACTTTGTTCCCGCTTAACTTCGGCAAAAAGCTGCGTCCACCCAGGTTAAGATGATGCAATATTGGGCTACGTTAAGTCACCGGGACTACCCCACTGGCATTGGGCCACCTTTTCATGGACCCACACATGCATTTCTGAGCTGGAAAGTTCCCACGCACTGTCGGAATCAGTGAAGCGGAAGGCGAGAAATGTCTAAATAGGAGCAGCTCTACTTACTTGAGTTTAAGTCCGGCCAAAATTCTCGGTGGGGTTGAAATGTTCCCTGCAAACCACCTGCAAAAAGAAGAGGAGAGGGTGAGTAATTCAAGAGCTGCGCCCACAGCTTCAGCTTCAGTCCCCACTCCCAAAGCCAGAAGTAAAAGGAGGCACGGAAGCCAAACTCCTCCCCGGACCAATTGTTCCAGCACAATAATGAAAGAAAGCCGATTTGCTGGGAACCGGGGGCGTAGATGGGCGTGAACAGCCAATCACAGGTTGGACAGTAACCTGGTTTCCTGCGACCAAAATTTCGGGCTCAGTAATTCCTGCAATGTTTGCGAATTGGTTTCGCTGTTGGACTCAGTTCCTAATGCCCGAGAGTGGTAACATGTGCTCTTCTGAGATGATTGTCCATGTCCGCGGTGTTCCCTTCCCCACCTTTCCCTTCGTTTCTCACTGGCCAGAGCTGGGGAAGATCCGAAAGCATACAGAAATTTACAGGCATGAATTTCTTCACTAAGCTGCTGGCTGTGGGTTTAGGGGCGGCCTTGAGAGCCTGCATATGCCCTCTTCTAACCCTTTGTGAGGAGGCCGCCAAAGTCCCCTTTACTGATAAAGTATTTTCTTTCTCATTTTGATTCTTTGCAAAATCAGGGTGCTGCCAAGGAGAGACACTTGGAGGCCTGTGATATAAAACGTGGTAGTAGGGAATAAGGACAGGGTGAGTCCCCGTTGAATCAAGGCGGGCAGAGGCGGAGACAGGAGTAAGTGACCCTCTTTAGGCTTCATGTGTGGCGGGAAGAGGGGAAAATGGGCTTCAAGAAGTAAGACCCCATGATGTCCATGGTGTTGTAATAGAAAGAATTCTAGATCTAAAGTTAAAATAATTCATTTTGATTTTCTGCTTTACCGTGTCCAACTTTGGACAAGTCATTTTTCCTCTTTGGGCCCCATTTTCCTAATTTGTAAAATGAAGGATTTGAAACGATGATCACTTTAGCACTAAATCCTATGAAGCTCTCTGGGTAACTGCTTTAGTTCTCACTGCTTTCTGAATATGACTGGCACTGAACTTCAGTAACCTCAGCAACAAAATAAACATCAGGTCCTTAGTACACTTTGCTTTGTACTTGGTGTCCTTAACTAAATTCAAATTAGTTAATGGGTTTATACAGTCAATTTTGGGGACCAGGAGAGAAAGTTAGTTATAATTATCAATGATAATTGAAGTCAATATCAAGTTTATAAAATCTTTATGTTTAGCCGAGTAGCATTTCCCACAGTGCCCTCACTGAGTGATTATTTCAGAAGGAAATCTAAAGATGAAGAAAATACCAAAGTCAAAGAAGAAAATTCTCACACCTAAATCCCCTCCCCCCAATCACTAGCAACTTGTAGAGCTTCTTTTCTTTATGCAAAATCTTAATTAGATTCATCTATACAGGTTGTTGTTGTGGTACTTTCTTATTGTTTGACCTCCAATGACATCCAGAAGGCTTGAGGAAGTAGGGCTTCTGCAATCAATATTCTTTACCATTTGCTAAATAACTGACAAATAAAAATAATAATAGCTACCATCTCTACAATGCTTACTATGTTGTGCTAAATACTTTACAATTATTATCTCATTTGTTCCTAATGACAACCCTGAGAGGTGGGTGCTGTTATTAACCTCATTTTACTGATGAGGAAAGTGAGGCAAATAGAGGTTAAGTGACTTGCCTAGGGTCACACAGCTAGTAAATGTTTGAGACCAAATTTGAACCCAGGTTTTCCTAATTGTAGGCCCAGCGCTCTATTCCTTGGCCACCTACCAATAAATATTTGTGTACAGCATGTCCTTGGTTAAAGTTTGTTTTACTTAGGACCAACTAATCCCTTCCTTAATCCCAATCTATCTCACTAATTCTCCCTTCCCCCTTCTTCCATTTCCCTCCTATTTCCCTCTTGAGTGAAATGCATTTCTGTACCCAGTTGTGTGTATTTTTTCTTCCCCCCATTTGACCAGGTCAGATGAGAGTGAGGTTAAAGTGTGAGCTGCTCTCCCCACTCTTTCTTCATTGTTTATATAGATTTCAACTTGTCTACCCTGGCTATGTGAGATAATTTTCCCTAACCTTCCTTTCCCTCCCCTTCTCTGTATTGTATCCCAATTCTGATTCTATTCTTTTAAGATCATCAATACAGAACAACTCCCAGGCCTTCTGTCTAATTAGCTGCCCTCCATGACCCCTGATGATAAGGTTCAGAAGGGACACATGCATCATCACCTCATATTAGAATATAAGCAATCGGGCAGCTAGGTGGCACAATGGATAGAGCACCAGCCCTGGATTCAGGAGGACCTGAGTTCAAATGCAGCCTCAGACACATAATACTTACTAGCTGTGTGACCCTGGGCAAGTCACTTACCCCCATTGCCTAGCCAAAAAATATATATATACATAAGCAATCAGTAAACTTGTTTCATCCCTCATGATTGTTCATTTGTGTTTACCTTTTTGTTTCTCTTGACTCTTGGGGGTTAATCTTTGAAATTTCTATGCAGCTCTGGTCTTTACATCAGGAATGCTTAGAAGTCTATTTCATCAAAGGTTTCACTTTTTCTCCTTCAAGATTATACTGTTTTGGGGCAGCTAGGTTGCAAAGTGGATAGAGCACTGGCCCTCAAGTCAAGAGGACCTGAGTTCAAATTCAGCCTCAAACACTTGACACTAGCTGTGTGATCCCATTGCCTAGCCAAAAAAAAAGATTATGCTGTTTTGCTGGATAACTTATTCTTGGTTGTAAGCTTCTCTTTTTTGCCTTCTGGAATACTATATTCCAAACTCTCCATTCCTTTGCTCCATTCCACTCCTGGGGAAGTGCACCTGCTTCTCGAGAGAATCGAAATGGCGCACTTTAACCTCTTTAATAAAAAGTCTTTGAGACACCAGTCTTCAGAACTGAGTCTGGGGTCATCTTTATGACAATAACCAAAAATCAGTCCCCAGTGACAACATGGTCCAAACGATGAGGTTGGGATCTGGGCCCCAGAAAGGAAAAACCCTGGACTTTCCCACAAGGCCAAATCTCTGGCATTCCCTGAGGCTATAATCCCATCAAATGGCCTTTCATTATGGCTACACCCAATCTCTCCTCCATTGTCTTACCTCCCTATGCCCCCCCCCCCGGGCCATTTCCCACCCTTAATCCTGGCTAGGCTCCTAGGCCATGAGGTCCGGGTCCCAAGAGTTCTGTTCACCCAATTTACTGGCCCCTCCTAGGACCCTCCCACAGGCTTTCTGTGTGTAAAGTCCATCTTGTCTCCATTAAGATGCTCAGATTCTTATAATCTAGCCACTGCTAGGATTTTTATAATCCAGCCACTGCTTAGATTCTTAAAATCTAGCCACTGCTCAGATTCTTAAAATCTAGACAGTAGCTTACTAATATTCAGACTCCATAAGGTCTGCCCAATATGATGGATGTTCTAATAAACGTCTTTGGCTGAAAGAAGGCTTGGGTTGAACTCTTTCAGACAGGACCCACATGTTGATTTTGGGGTCCCAGCACCCCTGAACCCCTAAACTGCATCACCATCTTGACTTAAATTCTATATTGACTAAACTCTATATGTTTCAACACTGAAGGACTCTGAGTCTTTGAATGGAGGATGGATTCCCCCTTCTCATTCCACTCCCAAGAGAATGCAAGCAGAGACTATCCCCACTGGTATCTGTTTTCCTTCTGTCCTTGGGATCAGCAGGCCTCGGCTCAAACAATGCAATAATGTTTTCTCCCAGTTCCCACAACTGAATAAAGATTTTTCACAAGACAGAGGTTGGACTATACCTATAACTGAACAGAAACCAAACTGGGCTAGCTCTAGAATTGAGTCATAAGATGGAGTTGGTGTGGTTCACTCAAATTACCACAGTAATCAGAACTATAAAAAAATAATAAAATTCATCTGGAAGAACAGATGGAGTTGGTGTGGTTCACTCAATTACCACAGTAATCAGAACTATAAAAAAATAATAAAATTCATCTGGAAGAACAGAAGGTCAAGAATATCAAGGGAATCAATGAATAAAAATGCAAAGGAAGGTGGCTTAGCAATACCAGAATTCAGACTGTACTACAAAAAGCAGTAATCATCAAACCAATCAGGTACAGGCTAAGAAATTAGTGACTTTCTTCACTGGCCACATACAGCTGTTGAATTGAGTCTGAAGTTGAGGAAAATCCGCCTGCCCCTAGAATGTGGGCATTTGGCCTTTGAATGTTTGTCCTTCATTCTTGAAAAGGACCATGACATTAGGGAGCTGATGCCATGACTTGCAAGTAAATTGGATTTAAGTGAGAGAGGGCTGGGCAAAGTGACCACTTACATTTTCCCCCAGAAGTCATCTGAGTCCAGTGGCATAACTGTGGAATATGGCTTGAGACCAAACCCCATCCGTCTTCCTGTTTGTGTTATTCAAGGCAGGGGTGAGATCAGAATAGATGGAAGCTATCTCAAGTGTGTCTTCTTCCCCTTCCTCAGAACGATGTAGGGACAGCAGGTTTGGGGAGTGGAGGTTTGTTTTGAGTACAAACCTTCCAAGCCAGCTCCTCTTCTTCCTCTTGCCTGTAGGTGCTTCAGGTGCCCCTGTGATCCATTCTAAAGGTGACCTGCCTCCCCAATCCTAGGTCTTTTTCATTCTTAGTTTCCAGTTTAACCCAGTCCTGCCTCATGCTTAATCAGCTGGATCACTTTCCTTAGAATCTCCTTGTATTAAGACAGCCCAAGAGCACGCCTGCATTCCTGTATTTCTGTTACGGGATGTTAGGGAACAGATCTACTTATTAGGTCCCAACACTCCAACCAAATAACTTGGAGTTTAGTGTTTAGGTCATATATGTATTCTGCAAGTTGCAGAATGGAGCCTGGGGTTGTACTAGTCAAATCAGTTTTCATGAGCTCACAATTTTTCTTATTGCTGTAACTAATGATAATCAACCTCTTTGATTTATTCCAACTTTTTCGAAGTCTGTGGTATTCCTCTATTACAGATAATGTTGGCTCTTTAGAAAGATGACATTTACCTTATTAAGGAAACACCCATTTTCCTTTGCTTTATTTTTTTTTACATAAATGGTTATTGTATTTGGTCAAAAGCTTTCTTCTTCATCTATTGATATATTTGTTATTTTTTGTTTTATTATGTTTATAGTTTTTCTAATATTGAACCAACCCTGCATGCTACGCTTGTAGTACATGCCTCTGGCAATTCTAGTTCAGGGAAACAACGTGGGTTCCTCTCCCAGGTAGGTGAAGGCTCTAGAGACTGGGTTGGAAGGGGGTGAGGCTGACAAGCAAGCTGGTGATGTGGAATGGAGAATCCTGAGAGGTTAATGTACTGAAAGCTCCTTTCATAAGTATAAATATTTGTACATCTTGATGGGGGGGGAGAAGAAATTTGTGCATTTGCTCCAGGATTTTCATCAGCTTTTACAGTACCTGGGTATACAGAAATAAGGACTAAACCTGGGATTTCATTGATGTAAAGTGAGGCAACTTGCTCTACCTTCTTTGTAACTTAAGTCTTGAGTTACCTAGAACACTGATTGAAACTTGTCCAGGGTAATACAGTCACTACTCACACTTGAATCCAGGTTTTCCCAGGCTCCAAGGCTAATCATGCTGTCATGCTGCTTTTGTATAGAGTAAGCTTACTTTATTAAAAAGGAAATGTCCTTGTTAAAACCTTGTAGTTAACAGGGACAATGGCATCTTATATAACTTCATATTCTTTAGTACAGAAATTCAGATTGCTCTGTAGCTCTTTTAAACCCTAGCACATCCCATCCCAACATATTTGGCGATCCTAACTGATTTGTTTCACAGTGAATGTCACTCAGGTGCCATGGGTTGCTAATTTGGCCTAGGCTGAAGACTAAGTGGCATTTCAGAAATGCCCTAAGAAGTTGCACAACCTGAAAACTGTTTAGAGTGGTCGAAGGAATGCTATTTAAATAGGAAAGGTGCTACATTTAGTATGAAATGTCATTATTCCTTGATAATTTAGACCAAGGGAGTATATTTCTCTTACTAAGGTAACTAAGACCATAGAATTGAACCAATTTTTTACTAAGCCAACTTTAACTACAAAACAGCCAAAATACATCCGCAGAAAAGCATTAAAACTTTACGAAGGGGTCATTTTAAGAAAAAAAATCCAATAATCAGGACGATGAAAAATTACATTTCTTATTGCTTAAGAAAAAATATTCCAAAGGAAGGAAAAAATGTCAAATCAGAAATGAAGCAGAAGAAAATATTTCATGAGTTTTCCTACTTAGATTCATTTTATCAAAAGAATGCCATTTAGAAGACTTTCCTTTTTAAAAAGGCTTTAAAGCAAAATGCTGAAGTTCTGCAATGTGCAAATTCCTTATTTAAAAAACCTTTATTTTCAACAACTTTTCTCCATTTGGTTTTACATTCTTTTAAACATACATCATATAATATTCATGGACAAGCAACATTTTACAGAAATAATTGGATTTTAACCTAAAGCAAAAAAAGAAGCCACTTGGGATAAATTCCAATCAAAAAGAAAAATTTCATGGACCCAAGTAAAGTTATCACTTTACTTCCTGTAGGCTGATTCCATGAGTTTACTTAAAGTTTATTAGCTGTTATTCACCAGTTGAGATCATAGTATACTCAAATAGAAGTAGCAACACAGTGTGATGTCATCTTTGGAACAAAACTTTCCTCTTCTTCCTTATTCCAGTCCTGTATTAGAGGCACAGAGGGGGAGGGTACGAAGTGAGTAGGTTTCCTCAAGTTTTACTGTCTAAATCTTCAGTAATTTCAGGTGAAAATGCTTAAAGAAACTTATAAGATTTTAATTATAAGCTAGTTCACAGGAAAAATCAAGAAAAAAAAGTAAAACATCCCCTACCTTTCTTGTCTAAATGGCGATTACAAGTTTTCACTGAAATCTATGATGCATCAAATGATTGATTTCATGTTTACTTTGGAGGGAAGATACAATGATCAAAACTAAGTTAACTGGTTCACTAACTTCAAATTAATTTTCATAAGTCCCCCTCCCCCTATGACTAGTATGGTGATTCCTGTAGTAAAAAGATCCAGTATCAAATTTCTACACCTCATATCTGGGTTATAATCAATGGAATTAACTTCACCAATTAGTGGAGACTTTTTATCAAGTTTATTTCATAAGCATTACCTTCATGAAAAATATAGGCCAAGAATATGTTCTTTTAAAAGATTTATTGAATTTCTAGCTTTTGAAAAGCAGGGTGCTCTCTCCAACAAAGTAATGTGCATTTTTCTGAAAATTAAATTGAACAGGGGGGAACTGCATATACAGTGAAAAAGCTGATTTTTAAATACACACACGATAATAAAGGTTCGCCTACACTATATAGAACAATCATGATAAAGTAGGCTTGGATAACCTCTGTTGGAACTCTCATGTTTCTCTAGTCAATCACTTAGACACATGTATTGGGTTTGCCTTTGACAACTGTCCATTTCAGCTTTAAAGCTTTTTAAAAAGCTTTTTCATTCTTAACTTTAATCTTAGTTCTGCTATACACTGAAAAGGAGGGAAAAAGAAAAACATTTTCAACTGCCAGCATTTAAATAGTATATTAACTGATAGAAGTTAATTAACAATTTTAGAAATTTTAATGCACAACCACTAATCATTATATTACTTTACAAAGCAGAGAAATTAAATATGAATAAATCTGATCTTTAGGTGGGTGATTTTTGGAGAAACCCTTTAGGATATATTAGTTTGATTTAAAAGATTTAACTTGCCTTGTGGACTACCAATTGTGGCAGAATGGCCCTAATGGATTCTTATGAGACACTATCAATATTGGCATAATCTTAATACTGATCTTCTAGGCACTACTCTAATTTTGGGGCATTAAGCATGAAATACCATTTAAAAAACCTTTAATTATATACAGACACCACTATCAATTTCCATTAAAGATACACTAAGACAATATTTTATACTAAAAAAATTGGCTTTACTGTAAATATGCTAGTTTACAGTGCAGACATTTCTGGTCACAAATCAAGTTTCCAGCTAAGTATTTCTACAGAGTAAATAAAAAAGATGTTTCCAGGTCTGTTTAAATTAACCTGACACTCACATAGCAGGAAAGAAAATATTATAAAAGTTAATTTTTATGCATCAAGCCTTTTTAGTTACTTGTTCAGTTTATGGTTTCTTCAAATAAGTTTTCTATTTATATAAAGTTCACAAATCAACTTTTATCTATCCCCAAACATTTAAAGGGCAGGGAATCTGTATTACCTTCACCTCAAGCACTGCCAGGTCATGCATTTGATGAGGTAAAGAAATGAAAATTAATAAGACTTCCCACAAGAAATAGTTACGCCAAGAATACTGTATCACTACAAATTTTATTCAGAAGCCCATCTTTTTTTTTTGTTTTGTTGTTTTTTAGAAAAAAAAATTCTCATTATGAACTTTGTTTGGTCAATCAACTACAAGACTTTCTAGCAGACATACAGTAAAAATGGCATGGCTCAGAATCGACCAGATCTTTCACGATCTCTTGACCGCCTCCTATCACGTTCCCTTCCTCCACCACCTCCGCCACCACCACCACCGCCGCCGCCACCACCGCCACCTCCACCACCACGGCCACGATCTCTTGATCGAGAACGACGTTCACGAGATCTCGATCGGGACCTATGCCTGTGAATAGAAAAAAGATAAAATGAAGTGGTTCACTAACTTAAATTATGATTTAAAAGACAGTATACAAATACAAAATTATTACATGATGGTTCCAAATTTTCCTTCATTTTTCTGAACTAATTTAAAGAACTGAGAATAAAATAAGATGAAAGGACATAATTGCCAGGAAGGCATTACATAAATTAGTTTATTATTTCACATGAAGTTTGGTTAGCCAGGCGCTGATGTTTTTCCATTCCCCAAATAGGAAAGCAGACAAATAATGACAAATCACAATAAGGAAACCAATCAAGTTATTCAAGATTCATTTTGAGTTGACTTATTATAAAAGTATTGTTTTCCAAGCTGAATGATGCCAACCAGAAATGCAGTTGCTATGAATAATAATAAGCCTAACTTATTAGATACAAGTCAACTTCAAATAGCAAAATTTAACATCTTTGGCTATGCTGTCAATATTAGTATTATGTTAAGAGGTGTTTGAGGTATAGCTAGGTGGCACAGTGGATAGAACCCTGGCCTTGGAGTCAGGAGGACCTGAGTTCAAATCTGGCCCCAGACACTTGACACTAGCTGTGTGACCCTGAACAAGTCACTTAATCCTGACTGCCTCTCAAAAAACCCCCAAAAAACTCTCACATCTAGAACAGATGCACACCAAAGCCTAATGATACTTAAACCCAAGAATAAACGTTTGGGGAAGTGGCTCCCCATATTTAAAAAAAAAAGTTGGGAAAACTGGAATGCAGTTTGACAAAAAAGAGTTAGTTCAGCATCTTACGGCACAATAAATTCCAACTGGATAAGTGACCTAACTGTAAAGGTGCACGCGCGTAGGGAATGGTAGAAGGGAGAAAAGAGGAAGAGAGGGGAAAAACAACAGTAGAATTTTCCACATTTATGAAGGGGAAAAAAATTTAACCTGGAGAGATTATTTAAGAGACAAAATAGACACTATTATGTAATTACGTAAAATAAAAGTTTTGCACAAATACTATCAACGTAGCTAGAGCTAGAAGAAAAATATCTTCATCGTTTGCTAAAATTTTGACATCCAAAGTATGCTGTGAACTGACACAGAAGTGTCATGTCCCAATAGACAAATAGTCAAAAATGTGATGCTTTTGAAAGAAAAATCATCAAAAACTACCTGAAAAGCTTAAAATAATGAGAGAAATGCAAATGAAAACTCTGAGGTTACCACACAACTACACTCTTCAAGCTAACAAAGATAATGAAATATAGGAAAATTGGATTAAAAGAAAAATGACACATTGGAGGAGCTGCAGAAAAACAGGCACATTAACGGTCTGTTAGTGGAGTTATGAACTAGTTCAGCCGTTATGGAAAGCAAACTGGAACCCTGGAAACGACTAATGTAGGAATTTGTTTTTCTTTACTTTCATGGGGGTGGGTAGAACAGGACGACTTTAATTGAAAACAATTTAGATTTTTTATATATCTATCTATCTATATATATAAATAAACATATATCTTGCCTAGGCAATGGGGTTAAGTGATTTGCCCAGGGTTACACAGCTCACAAGAGTCAAGTGTTTGAGGCTGCATTTGAACTCAGTCCTCCTGACTTCAGAGCAGGTGCTCTATCTACTGTGCCACCTAGCTGCCCCAATAATACACATATTTTTAAAAGATAGAATGGTTTGACTATCCTGGAAAATAATTTGGATTATTAAGTTATTAAAGTCGATGTCTCAGAAAAGGCTAGAAATAAAAATATACTTTCACCAGTTGCCAAAAGACTAAATAGGTTATGGTTTACAAAAAGGAAAATAGTTATCCCTTCCCCATCCTGACTTTCCCCATCGCAGTTTGGCATTAGAAATTAAATGAGATTTTTTGGGGAGATTTATGGAAGCCACAGATGACAAAGAAAAAGTTTAGAAACCTAGAAATACATAAAACATATGTATAGTACTGTATAATATCAACCCAAATTTTACAACAAGGTACTGTAAACACCCTATATAACTCTTCTGATACAAGGGGAGGGCAAAAAATTTTACATGGATTTTCCAGATTGCAGGAATGCTGTGCCCTTAACCCGTATGTTGTGGTACAGATAACAGTATCGCCACATTATAAGAAATGATAAACTTACTATTAAGAATTCAGAGAAACATGAGGAGACTTATGTGAGAAGGGAACATATATGAGAGATTTTATAAAGGCCAAATCAACAGAACCTGGCAACAGACTGGATATGGGGTGGGCATGGGGGAGGTGGTATCTGTGAGATAGTTGAGTTGATACCTGGGTTGCAAGCCTGGTTAACTGGAAGGATGATTAACATCCTTGACAATAATAAAAAGGTTGGAAGACTAGAGGAAGAAATGTTAAGTTCAGTTTTGGACACTGTTAAGTTCACGTATCTACAAGACTTCCACTATGAGACGTCTAAGTTGGAGATACAAGACTGAAGATCAGGAAATAGGTTCAGACTGGACAAATACATCGAGAATCATCTGCATAGATGGTAACTTGAATCCGAGGGAGTTAATCAGGTCTCCAAAGGAAATAGAAAAGAGAGACCAAGGGGCAGCTAGGTGGCACAGTGAATAGAGGTCTGGCTTTGAAGTTCAAATCCAACCTCAGACACTTAACATTTACTAGCTGTGTGACCTTGGGCAAGTCACTTAACTCCAATTGCCTCACCAAAAAAGAAAAGAAAAAGACCAAGACACAACCTTTAATGTCCTAGCCAATCCTTTAGAATTTTTACTAGAAAAGTGAAGCCAAGTTGCTCTACAGTTTACAGACTACTCTTTTATTTTTTAAAAATTGGGTTATTTTACATCTCTAGTTCTGTGGAACCTTAGGAACTATATTAGCCAATTCTTCCAGGGTTGTGATTGTTCATCTGGACCTAGTGATCTGAAGTTATCAAAAATATTATACTATCTTTATATATCTTGTGCTTTAACTCCCTATATACTGTTTGCTGTCTTTTGGTAAGTAAAAATTCATTTGTTTCTGCCACATTCTTTTCAGGATGATGCTGTACATTTGTATCCATATTATTAATCTGCCTTTGCTTCCATCATCTGTTTTCTTTACATCTTAAACTGGTCAATGAGTTTGTACCCACATCTATCTCTTCAGACAATTCTCCCCCATTTACCCTTCCTGGTAACTCTTTCTACCTCTTCAGAAATATGTTCCTGAGAAATTCCATTCCTCTTAAGAGCATTTTGGCCCATACCTAAACTTAAATATTTCTCAGAAACTTAAAATCTTCTCTTCCCCAAACTGGGATATGTGTCAGATCATGCCAACTTTTGTCTGCTTTTCTATCATGAAATTTAATATATAAACTCACCTTTCCCTTTAGATTTCTATTATTTTGGTATCAGTTGCCACTTTTCTCCTTGTAGATAAGAATCAGACATAAATAGTAATTTTCACTTTACCTATCCTTTAAAGGACAAGCCAAAAGATTATTAGCTTCTATACATTTCTGACACATCAAGTAGATGTCCAGATAACTGAAGCCCACCATTACATTTTTTCCATGCCTTCAAGCTAGGTTCCTGATGTTTCCCAAATGCCTTATTCCTTTTGTTCAGATGATCTGTAGAATTTTCCCATGAAACGATCACATTTCTTCACTTTCTGACACTCTCCCCTCATTCTTTCCTTTATTCTAGTCTCTGATGGTTTGCCAAAGCCAGCCTTTAACCTACCAGTATTCCCTGCCTGTACAACCACTCCCTCTTTAATTTTTTTTATTTCTCCTTACTTGCTGCCTAAAAATACTTCTAAGTTGCTTCATTATACTAAAAAAAAAAAAGCCTTATGTGGCCCCACAATCCCTGTAAGCTATTTAATGATTCTGTACCTCTCCTCCTGTTCATAGCAGTACTAGGAAAAAATATATTCCTATATTCCTCACTTTTCAACCTTTGGGAATTTGGCTTCCAAACTGATCACTGAATTAAAACTGCTATTTCCAAAGTGACCAATGATCTATTAAATTCTTAACCCTCATCTTTCTTGACCTTTCAGTAGCATTTGACAAGGCTGACCATCTTCCTTGCTCTTCTGGGTCTCCTATCTGTCTGACTACTTGATCTAGTCTTTACTAGACTATCATTCATATCTTGCTCCCCTGACTACAGGCATACCCCAAAGGTTCCAACCTGGGCCCTCTTCTCAATGATGTCAGCAATTCTCATGGGTTAAATGATCAACTTTATGTAGATAACTCCCAGAGCTTTCATCTTCCTAGTCTCTTTCCTTTTTTTTGGCTAGGCAATGGGGTTAAGTGACTTGCCCAGGGTCACACAGCTAGTAAGTGTTATGTGTCTGAGGTCGGATTTGAACTCAGGTCCTCCTGAATTCAGGGCCGGTGCTCTATCCATTGTGCCACCTAGCTGCCCCCTTCCTAGTCTCTTTTCAACTCAACATGTCCAAAACAGCAACCTAATGGCCATGTATCAAGTCCTCAACATGGGAGTTACCCATGACTCTACTCTCCTCAAATTTCTCTTTGATTCTCCACCCTATTGCCTGCTCTCTACTCACACAGAACCACCCCAGGTTAAACTTTTATTATCTCTTGTCTGAATTATTTCAATAACCCGTTTTCCATTTTATTTTCCAAATAACAAACATTTATCCCCACCCCCTGCCAATTTAAAGTGTTTTAAAACAATTAAAAAAGGGGAAAACAAAGGTTGACTAAGATTTGCAGTCTTGTGGATGTCAGGAAGTGGGTAGCATAGCACAACCAGTGCTCTGGAATCATGGTCAGTTACATAACCAAGGCTATACACAATAGCTTTTTGATTTTTTCCCTACCTCCTCAATCCTTTGTAATAGCTACCAAAATGATATTTCCCAAATCACAGGTCTGACCATTTTACTTCCCTGCCTCAATAAACTCGAGTATATCCCATTTACCTCTAGGATCAAATAGAAACTCTTTTCTTTGGCATTTAAAGCTCTTTACAAACTTCCTAATATACCTTTCCAACAATTTCCCCCTTTACATGTTCTCCACTACAAACTGGCCTTATTCCTTTTTATGGACACATTCCTACCAACTGCCGCGACCTCCACACAAAATTATCTTACATTGATTTTATTCTCTTTCTACTACTACTTTTCAACCAATACATCTTCCTCTTCCCTCTTCTGGTTCTTGAGTTTCTTAACACAAGAATATCTTCCTAATGTATAATGCTTAGCCGACTCCCCCTTCCTTTTATGTTGTTTTCAATAAAACATACCCATCTACAGTCACATTTCAATTGTGGGGGCCCTTTCTATCAAACTGCAGTGACCTAAAAATGTTCACCACTTTTCTATTAAATTTTCATTTTCCTATGTTGGGGCCATTTCTCAAAGTGAGGGTTAAATGTTAGTCTTACAGTAGTCAGGATGTGAAATCCAATCAACTTAATTTACTTGGGCTGGTTAACTAAATTCAGGGCCTGAAGCAACAGAATACCAAGACCTAGATGGCTACAGCATAATGAGTTATTAATTTATAATCAGATTCAGTTCTCTAATCTATTTCTCCCACATTCTATTAAAAAAAAAGTACAGATGGCTAAATTCCACAGAGAAACTTATTTGGCAATAATGAATGATATTTTCCCTTAACTATATTTATTTTTTACATTATGGAATAAAAGACTTACTTTTTTTTTTAAAAGTCAATTGGGGTTAAGTGACTTGCCCAGGGTCACACCGCTAGTAAGTGTTAAGTGTTTGGTCTGAGGCCGGATTTGAACTCAGAAGTCATGTTCTCCTGCTTTCAGGGCTGGTGCTCTATCCACTGTACCACCTAGCTGCCCCTAAAAGACTTACTTCTTACGACGACGCCCGTACAACTCTCGTCGTAGTTCTCTAGAGATGGGTTTCAGATGCATAAAGTTACAGAAGCCTCCTCGAGTACATTCGCTGTGGAGTATAATTAGATAAAAATTGTCATATAATCACTTCATTTTTATCACTTACTATAATGTTCATCATGCTTATTAAATTGGTATGTTGAAAGTTGTCTGGCAAATAAGACAACTTTGTTTCAAATGGACACCACTCCCAAATCTCATCATTACCCCATTTCATATTGGCGACAGCAAGCTTCTCTGAAGTCAGTCACAGGTGAAAGCTCTGCATGAATTGGCTGTCCATTAAACCAGCGATTGTTTAAGTCAATGACAGCCTTTTCTGCATCTTCTTCACGGCGAAACTAAGAAATGAACAAAACAAAAATGTTTTTCATATCTCATTGTAGTTAGAGGTATCTGCAACAAGCAGGTGGCCACTAAGGTTAAGACAGATAATCTATTTCTAGTTATATTACTTAAGGGCTATCCAGCCTCAATACCAATTTTTACGTTATAAAATTCTACTATATATTAGCACTGACCTGGTTGCAAAAAAAAAAAAAGATTTAAAAATACTTTCTACACAATAAATATTTTGATAGAAAATATTAAATAGCTACAAGCATTGAAACTGGCAGTAAGAAACAAAAAACAAACCAGTAATCAGTTACTCACAATAACAAAATGGCTCAAGAAAAAGCAATTTCAGCTCTGAATTTAGCTGTGCATACATTTATAACTTTACTCACCTTTACATATACATTTCCTACAAGATGATCCCCAAGGTTATCACAAACATTCATCTCCTCAACTTCACCATACTTTTCTTCCATTTCTGTAAAAACCTCCTAGGTAGAGAGAAAGATATGAGGTTAGAGCATCTTCATATACCAACCGTATTAGAATATTACTAAGTGAAAATATAAGAGATTAATGAGAGAATATTCTTTTGAAATCTGATAGCCTTTACAGTCATCACTGTCTTAATCACTTAAAACATTCTCTATTTTAACTAGGCACTGTGTCAAAAATGCTAATATTTTAACTTCAAACAGTGAATTTTATATACAACTCACCTCAAAGAATTCATCATAGTGTTCTTGCATTTCAACATCACTCACTGCACCTGAAAAGGAGAGAAATCTTTTTGGTTAGAATACTGAAATGAGGGACCTCTTGAATTTAAATTCAAACAGCTAAACAACAGTAAAGTATCTAGAGAAAGAACACAAGGTGATGCAGTTGTTGAAGATATAGCATAATAAAACTAAGAGTTCTTTTTAAACAGGTGAGATTTTTAAATCTCCCATGACATTCTTAATAGTTCATTAAAAGTTAAATCGAGTTTTAATCAGCATCAGTGCTACAATTTCAGAATTGTTAAGGAAATGTTTAATATCAATTTAGACAATTTTATGTTAGATTTCCTTTTTTCTCCTAAGCCAAGCTATAGATTTATTAAAATTTATGATTAAGATTGAAGGGAAAATGTTAAGTTTATTTTTCTAATTAAAGGAAATCTTTACGTTTACAGCAGAGAAAAATGCTATAAAATCCTTCGTGATGTGATTAAAACCGAAGTACACCATGACAAAAATAATTTGTAATAGATTACTATGTACATTTATGGCATTTGTATGCCACCCAAATAAATGGAAATTACAATGCTTTGTTATAGAAAGCATTCTTAGTGTATATTCCAAAAGAATTTTCATTAAGTTATGTTTCTCTATGTAACTTATACACATGAAATGAAGTTATGTCTATCATTTAGGTAGATTCATGCTACCTAAGCAAACTGAAATTCTTCATTTCCACTCCCCCTCACCAAATTTTAACAATTCACATACTGCCAAAAAGGATCTACTCAAGAGAAATTAAGACATTAGAGTTTGCTAAATTAAGGTGGCTAGATGGGAGAGTACAGAAGACCAGCATTAATGCTAAGCCAGCCTTCAACCTGCATTGTCTATAAGCCCAGCCCTTATAGTTTGGAAACATGATGGGGGCAAGGATGAGCAAGCTTGTTTTATGAGTCACTTCAGGCCTTATTCTATGAAGGCCACAATTTCTTATTCTTACTCAAATAAAAATGCCAAGAACACACTTTCCTTCCCATTAGCTATTTTGCAAATGTTCCCAAAGATGTAAAAAAGATTTCAATGTATAAACAAAACTTCTGAGAACCATTGTGATTTATTAATTTAGCTTCACTTTTAATCTGCATGGGGGCCTTCTAGATTCCAGTTTTTAAAAACTGTAATGTCTATGAATTGTTTTCAAAAACCAGAATTTACTAGGGATTCAAAAACAAATTCAACAATTTTTGATATGTGACCAATCATTTGTAAAAATGTTTACAAGTGAAGTCATAAAGTATTATTTCTCTACTAAACAGGATGCTCAAAAAATTACTTTAAAAAGATTTTACTGCCCTTAAATTCACTTTCTTTTGGTAGTTTTATAGCACCTTCCACCAGAGTGAAAGAGAATGTAAAATGTAAGCTAAGTTATTATTTAGTAGCTTTCATAAAAAGTCAAAATTAGGTAGAGAGAGAGATTTAAACTACTGGCTATAGATTTGGGGATTGTAATGGATTTTAATTTTATCCATGTCACCATGCTATAGAGTTGTATACAATTTTAAAAGCATAAAATAGAAATAATCTGATAATGGGCTAACACTATGGGGAAAAATACATTTTGTCCTGATCTCAGTAATATTGCTCATCAGGATTTAATCATTAAACCATATAAAAATAAACATGAAATATTTTAACCATTCACAGAGGTAACAGATTAAATAAAAATACTACTCAACCATATATACCCCTTTAATGGAAAACAGATTTTAACAGCAAAGCATGAAACAATTATTAATTTCTCCTCTTAAAACTTATGCTTCTTAAACTTGGATTCAATCATTCAGACTGAATTATATGTTTCACTGAAATAGCTATTCTCTGCATAAAAGGGGTAAGTAAATAATTTTAAATTTCAATTAACTGAATTTAGGTATTTGGGAAATATCAGTGAAAGGGTCCTGTAATTAAAGTTCATCAGTTTAAACTGACTTTATATTTAAGATGCAAACCAAACTCAACCTGCTCATGCGGAGAGGGCACCAGCTTTTTGATACTTGTATATAATCAATTCTTATTATGCTACATGCATAAAGCAGTGGAGTACCATGAATGTCTATTGTTTTAAGAGTCCATAGTCAACATTACATATCTAGCTTAATTTTAATATTGTATTTCCAATGAAAGATGAATATACACAACCCCTGATTAATGAGTAAAAAGCAATTATCACAATTATTCAATAACCTACTTTTCTTGAAAGGAAAAGAAGCAAAATATTTAGTATAGCTGTATTTAAATATTTCCTTTAAGTATTTCCCCTGAAGCTGTCCTTTTTAAAAAGTTAAAACAAAAAAATCCTCAGAAAACACTTTGTAGTCATTTAAGAAATTAAGGCCTGTACCACTATATCAATATCACAATTACGATAATGCACTTAGTGCCTCAACTGGCAGGATTAAAAATGAACAGAAGATCAGACCACAAGCTTCTGGCACAGGTTGATCTTTAAAAGGGATTTGAAGTTATATCTATGGATACTAGGGGCAATTTCTCAGTATTTACATTGTGGACCATTCATTGGCCACCTCTGATTTAAAAGGCTGCCAGTTTTTAATTCCAATTTTCCCACCAATAATTAAATTCCAAAGGGTTAAAAAAAAAAGACCACAACCAAACATATTCAACTATGCAAGATGCTAAAATATAAAACTGTTCTGAAGGTACTAGACTCTCCATTACTGACCTATATCCTGTTTTGAAACAACTATCACTTAAGAGAATATTCACATGATACTTGCCATTTGAAAAATAGGAATATTTACTAAATGAAAAATTACAGTTCTTTTCCATGCAAGTGCCCATCTGTTTTCAAACTATAGTAAACCAAATTCTGAATTCCACAAAGAAGACAAACTTTAAATTTACATTCAATGTCATAATGATGATCTTCAAACTTTTTCCACCAAGGACCTACTGGCATTTGGCAAATACAGATTTGCTCCCCAACACCTCCTCTTCCTCTGTTTTTCCCCTGAACTATCTAGCTAGTGTCTATATCCTGCAATAAGGAAAGCTCAGGGTCTCTGTGACCCTATGAATACTTAGAGCAAGGTTTGTTAGAACCAAAATGTGACTTCTGAAATAGCTAAAATTTTTTATTTTCAACTAGGGACAAAATTTTGAATGCAATTTGGGGAAAACACACACGCACACACAAATAACCAAATTTTACCAATCTCTTTTAAAAAGAAGCATTTTAAGTACCTTGCTCTTAAAAGAGCATAACGCTTACTTTGGTATATTTTCCCCTAGGATGACGGTCAAGTAAAGGAGGAAACAGTGGGAGCAGACCAAAACTACTTTAAAAAGCATAGTTTCAGCCCCTTTTGGAAGAATTGGGTTGGGGGAAGGGTTGAATAGGACAAGTCTCTTGACACATTTAATAAAATGTGGTCCTTTATTAAACTAAAATGGTAGATCAGATTAAGTTGACACTGAGCTCTGACAATCAAGCCCAGGGAACCAGTGAAGGAACTTGTATGAACTTACAGCGCAAACCGTCAGCAGACTGGGAAGAGTTTTGAGGGTTACGGTAAATGTTCAAGAGGGCAATGGTCTGAAATACAAAACGCAACAACTTTATATTATGGAAAATAAATTTTTAACACTTAACCGGTTTCCTTTGATGATCACTTTTTGCCGAGTCTCTGTGCTGAAAAAGAGCAAGTTATTTTCTCCAGAGAGGGGAAGTTTTCCTGAACCATCCTAACACTACATAAGAGATCTCATAATATGCTATTATTGTGTTTGTTTTATCAAAACATTCCTCTTTCACAAACTGAACTAAATTATAAAAGTAAAGAATTTGCTCTTTAAAACTTCATTTAACAAAATAACTAAAACTTATTGAGAACAGCTAGGACAAAAGAGCCGCATCGTGTAAACACAATAATTACATGACATGAAATCTCTTATTTCCTTAACTTCTCTTTCTTTCTTTCTCTTTTTTTTTAATGAAACAAGACCCACACTTGGGCAACTTACCTTACCGAATCCTAAATATTTTTATGATTTCATACCTATAGAAAGAACTTGATAAATGTCAGGGGTCCAATCAGTGTAACGATTGGCTGATTAAAAAAAAAAAAAAGGTTTCATATGTATGGACCTTATCATTTAACAAACGTCAAATCAAAAGAAAGGTCCCATCAGTGAGCTTTCAAAGGTCACATGATTTGTTTCATGAACAAATACAGTTATCAAGTTCTTGCTGTGCGCAAGGAGTTCCATCACCTTGTCCTGTTTGCAACAGCTTTATGTCAGCAGCTCAGAAGCCAACATTATTGTCTCAATTAGGAGTGGGCTCTTTAACACCATTCTTTAAAAAAATTTCTCCAACTGTGGGACTTACAGTGTGAGCCGTCAGCCGTCTGTGCACTGTTTTGGGGGTTACGATAGATGTTTTGAATCAAGATGGTCTGCGGGGAAAAAAAAATAAAAAGGGGAATTCTACTGGCTGCTGTGCATATATTAGACAATTGCAAAGAGACAACTTGTTTGCAAATGGCTAAACAACTTTTTTTGCAAGTCAGACATTTTGTGTGTGTCTTCTGAAGAGTAACCACTAAAACCATCATATTATGAAAACAGAGTTTTTGCAGTGACTTATTTTAAGTCAGCTAGCAACCAAGAAGGAACTACAATTGATTAGTTTAATGAGTATCCCCAAGTTAAAATGGCAAAGTATAATAAATACTCTAAGTCTAACATTTTTGTACTTCAAACTAACAGACACTAAAATGTCCTGAAATTTCTCAAATATAAACACATCCCCATGCAAAGTTTTAACCAGTACATAACTTGAGAGTATGCAGTAGGTTCAAGTTTTCTTCCACTGTTAGCAAAAGTTGGTATACAAAGCAAGTTTCTCAAATGTCAACTAGATACCTTATACAATCTTATATAAATATTTCTTGGTGAAGTCTCTGTTTACATAATACAATAATTTTAAATGTTTGTATGTTTTCCGCTCCTTCTTTTAAGGAAAATATCCTTTTAGCCCTTCTGCTTTACACTTGATCAGGCAGACTTGAAACCTTACATTTGTACCGTTCTTCTTAAAACCAAGTTGTCTGAAAAAACAAACCATGTTTAAGTTAGTAAGCTAATATAGCACATGAAATTTCAATGTCCATTATCACTGTAAGTAGCTCAAAAATGTACTGTATATGCTAAAAACCACAAATTTAATGTTAAGTGGGGAAGATTAAAAAAAATCTTCAGTCTTGAAAACATTGCTATGACATGTGTATAAAGGAGATTTATATCTAGTTTATAAAACCAATTGGTTAAATTCCCACGCTAGAGGGAATTCCTAACAATGGCCATAGAACCTCCAAGTCAAAGCCCCAACTCAAATGAAATACATTACATTTTAGTGTTGTTGAGTATGCAGATAAAAAATATAACATTAAACAGAACTGTAAAACTAAAAATAAACTTTTGTGAATGATTATCAACCCTCTTCTCTACCTTTGAATATCTGAACTTTTTCTAATCCACACCCACTTAGATATCAGATCCACTATAGGCATTCTGGGACACAGTCCTCTCAAGACTTTGGAGGTAGGACAGAGAGTTCTATATTTATTTGGGTAATAATTTTATTGCTTATGTTTATAGGATTCCTGAGCTGAGAAAGATAACACAAAATAAAAATCCTGCGCCCATGTGTAAAACATGTCATGGGTTTGCATCTGGCACTAGACGTTAATTTTTACATTTAAAGGGAATAATGGAGTCCCATTAATGATAAACAGTGCCTTAAATTAACTTTAGAAAACAAAATTAAAATTAGATGTGTAATCACATACACACCCAAAGAGAAACCAAGAAAAAAAGAGTTTATGAAATCACCTTTATTTTGATCCCAACATGGCAGATTTTAAAAAGTCACAACTAATAATCTAATTCTGAATGGAAAAAAAAATTTCTACCTGCATTTAGCTAAAGAGCAATATTTATCCTCTTCCCACCCTCTTCTCAATGTCTATTTCATTTACAGACTCAGTGAAGACAAAAACACAAAATCTAAATAGGTAGGTGAACCCTCCCAACCTATGTCTCACAGGAGTATTGAAAGATTTACTTAACCACTGTAGGTCCTTTTCAACTATCAAAATGAAAACCAAAGAACACATGAAAAACTACTCTAAAAGGCTAACATTTTTTCTTTCTGTTGTGGGAAAAACCTTACTTTTAAAATTTATGGTATAATTTATTCATATTTATATATATGATATAATTTATAATTGTAATTATTAGTGTTTCCTTGAGGGTAGAAGTCTAACTCAGCAGTGCCTTGCAGTTTTCCGATATTAAAGCCTACAGAAAATCATATTTCACTCTTTTCCAAATTGCTGAATAGCAAACATGAGATGGGAATAACCTACACCTTTATTTCTCCTAATTCTTTTTAATAGAAGTATGATACTTTTCTCCAATGCTCCAAAATACATGAAATGTCATTCCACTTGCAGTTTCTAGACATTTTTTCTTAAGAGAGTAGCAAAGACTTATTTTTCTTAAGTTTTTCATCAGTCTAAAGAAAATGTACAAGAATTTTAATCATTCAGAACACAAGAAGTAATAATAGCTCAACTCTAGGGGAGTAGAAAGGTACTAAATAGCAATGTATAAATAATTTATACTGAAACCCACATTTTATACCCTAATTTTATTTCAAAGACAGTAAATGTCACAAAATTTCTTTCCCTTTATCTTCCAGTTAAAGAAATGGAGTAAGAAGCTCACTTAGAGTAGAAGATAAATGAATGCATTCAAAATATAAATCTCTTTTATAACTCTAGCAAGTTTTTGGTTTTTTAAAAATTCCTATTCTAACCACTCAACCAAATAACCCCAAGTTAAGTCTTAGTTGGCACGGCCTTTCCCTACCTCTTCTAATCCCACAGTAGTAAATCAGCTGGCAGGGGAAACTGGCAGTTAATGTGAATTACAGCTAACAAACCATAAGGAAAGAAAAATAGTAAAAAATCCCTACAGATCAGGTCAGTTTTTGCATGTAAGGTCCACATTTTTTGAGTCATATTAGCCATGAGAACAATGACGTTCTGAAATCCTTCATATAGATACAAGGAATATACCAGCAGTGTTTATTATACAAATATAGGAACATGACTGATTTGCCTTGAAATCAAATACACCAATTAGCCCTGACCAGCCTCCACTACAGTCAGGATTTTTAATAGCATCTCCTGCAAAAATGACCAGTACAAGCAAAAAGAAAATATATGCACACATACATAAATAAAAGAGAAAAAAAGGGGAAAAGAATTATTTAATATTAGTAGCAGTCTTTGAAAACTTAGACGAAGATTTAAGACAAAAAAAATCTAAGAAAAGACACAAACCTGGCTAAAAGTTGGTTTATTATGCAACCGAGAACATCTGTCTCCATGACGACAAGCTCCAATTTTGAAATAAAACGAACAGTTGACTCTGTAAGTAAAAACAAGACCTGATTATACTGATAGGAAAAAAAAATACATGTAAATATGCAATTAGCACACGATGACTACCAGACTATTTTCCATTTAATTCAGATACATAACTAGACCAATACTACAGTTTAATCTTTATTACCTGATACCTTTTCCCACAGAATTGCTAGAGTTAACTTAATCTAACCTATAACTAATAGTAACATCTTCTATTAATTCCCGAAAGTTGGTCATCTGGCTGGTACTTCAAGACATCCAAGGATGAGGATCTCATGACGGTAGCCTGTTCTACCCCATAAGAACTCTAGTCAGAATTTTACACCCCCCACCCCCAACCTTTCCTCGGGTATATTAAGGCTACATCTACTTTTCTGTGAATCATTCCTCCTAGTTCCACCTTCTGGGGTCAAGAAAGACAAATCTAATTCTTTCTTCTCATGACAGCTCTTTGAATACTTGAAAACAATAATATCCTCTCCCTAACTCTTCTCACCTCCAAGTTAAATACCCCCAATTCCTTTAGCACCTTATATGGCATGATTTGGAATCGTCTCAGCATCCCAATTCACCTCTTTTTCAGTTTGTCAAGATTCTTCCTGACCTATGCTGTCTGCAACTGAATACAATCCTCTAGATGTAGTCTGACAAGGGAAGAGTATAGGAGGTCTATCACCTTTCTGGTTCCTCTGCCTCTTTCCCAAATAATGGCAATGCAAATCCTTCTCATTAGGCATAAGGACATGAATTCTATTTATGTTTCTTTTCCCCATTTTCATTTTCTAATGTTAATTCATTCTCTTTATTGGATTAATTTGCCTATCAACCCAGCATACTCATCTGTTAAGGATCTACAATTTCCTTGGTAAAAGAATTCCTTCCACTCACAAATGCTGCATCTCCACTATAACCTAGAAGGGCCTCAGTTTTCTGAGACTCAGAAAGATTAAATTACTTTACTCCTCATCACATAGTCACAAAGATTAGCATCAGATGTAGGCTTTGACTAAGTCTTTCTGATTCAAGTCCAGCACTCCATCCATTACACCATATTGCCTCTATCTAACATAAGTAAAACTACCTCAAAAACATCGGATTTCCTCTGCCCAGCTGTTAACCTGCCAAAACATTTTCATGTTCTTTCATGCAAGCTCTGTGGTCTCACTTCCGAAAACCTGGACTTCCAGGGGGAACTCATTTTAGTTTTCAGTATCTCTTTGGAAAAACTGAAAGATCAAGACACGAACCTTTTCTTTTATTGGAGAGGCATGGGATGATATAGACAGAATACTGTTTATACAAAAAACATACTGTGCGCTGACTCCTCACAAACTCTGTTATCTTGTCTTGTTTTTTCCCAACAAATCAAGAGAAAATATGAAAGCCTCAAAGAAAATATTTTAATGAAATGGGGAGATCTAGAACCTGATGCTTGCCAACTTCCATTTTTCCTCTTTGCATTCAAACACTTCCCCCTTTCTAAGATTTTCTATCATTTTCTTGTTTAAATTGTAGTCTGCTTATGAGTGATCACCAAGTAAAGAAAAAAATTGTGAAATTTAATTTAGAAACACAATTATATATATAAAAGAAAAAAGCTTTCTGTTTCAAGCCAGCCTATACAACTTACATTTATTGTTTTGCAAACCTGGAAGATTCACTCTGACCAGTTCCCATAAGTTTCAGCTTAACAATTCAGTTACAAAATATTCAAAGAAAGGCTAAATTCTAATCACAGATAAAGTTATAAGTAAAGGATTGAAGGTATTCCTTCGTTAAGGAATATGAAAGACCTTGTACTTAATAATGAGCAAAGTGAATTGTTTTTAAAAAGTGTGGGAGGATAAGGGACTCCAAAAATAATGGTGAAAGCATATTTTTATTTCATGCTAGCCACAGACGGGGTTTTCCAACCCCTCTCTGATCAACAGTGTACAGAGCTGAATTGTGGTTAGTTTTCTTAATTAAAAAATTATATTCCAAAAAGTATGTAACAGAAATAATGTAGAACCTAGCATAAAAAGATGTTAGAAATGGCAATAAATCTAGGCTCCAGAAATGCAAATTAATAATTTCTCTAGTGTCATACCTATTTTCTAGCTTAGATTTTAAAAAAATTCTGTAAGCCAGAACTCCCCAGTTCTCTCCCAAAAAGGCAAGTAAGAAAACACTCAGAAATGCCTGATTTCACAATGCTGTTGAATGGTTAATTTCTGTTAAACACACACACAAGGAGGCAAAAGATAATTGGGATTAATAATCTTCCAAAACAGAGCAGGTAAGTGTTTTTGGTCATAGCATACAAAACTTAAGAAATAATTTCTTCTAATTTTTGCAAGGGTAAACTATAACAAGGAAACTACAGAACAATGGCTATCATGGGATAGAGACCCACAATCCATGGCATTAAATAAGTATAATTGTCAGGGATCTTTGCTACAAGGATACAATCAATCAACAATCATTTATTAAATAACCTACTACTGCCTGGTATAGGGGATACAAAAAAAGAATCCATACTCTCAAAGGGTTACAAAATTCTCTACCCCTAAACAAAAACTGTATAGAAGCAAATAAAGATTTTAGACGTTTCTAATTTGTTCCAATCACAGAAAAGGTCCTGCTTAAAAAATTAGTCTCTGGAAATCTGAGTTAATAATAGAATGAATAGATTTATCTACAAGTTTAGAAGTACTGTATAAAATGAAGAAGTTTTACATGGTTTCAAGCAAGTGGTTGCTGGGGTTATTCAAATAGTTTAAGATCCTAATGTCAAATTTTGGGAAAATTAAGTTTTGCATGCAAAGAATGATTTGTTGTCACAGGATCTGGCGTGGAATCCTAACTCTGTCACTTCCTTCCTGTATGACCTTGGGCAAGTCATTTAATTTCTCCAGACCTCAATTTCCTCATTTATAGGGGGTTAGCCAAGATTTCTGGTGTCAAAACTTCCTAGCCCACAAAAAATTCCTAAGTACAACCCCTCCAGATTAAAATGTAATTGGGAAATGTTTAACAAAGAAATAAAAATAGAACATAATATTAAATTGTGTTTCTCTAAGGCAATATACAGCCTGCATATTTTTTTCGGATCACTTTTTATTGGAGTTTGACATCAGTGGACTAGATGACCTTTATGGTTTTGGCTCTAAGTACACAAAAATCTACAATCCTAAAATTAATCCAATTCACTAAAATCAAGCAGGCCAAGGCCAAAAAAAAAAAAAAAACAACCAAACACCAAAACCAAGCTATTTTATTTAGCTTTTCCCTACACTTATTCTTTTAGAAGTGGCTACAAGACCCTAGAGCACCTTTCTATTTGAAAAGAGAATAAACATCACAGGCAACCTTCCTCATCCTCCATTTTTCCAACTGAGAAGAGCTCCTAATCAGTTTCACTGACATGTATTCACGAGTTGTACATATCCATTTCTTGGGTTATTGTCTATAAGGGTTCATGCCTGAACATTCTTTTGGCTAACTGTGTTAATATTTTATATCTTTGGAAATCTAAATCTATTTCTGAAATCTAACAAAAGTACTAAAATTTGTGCACCAGTTTTCCTTCAATTCAACAAATATTTATTAAACACCTAAATTCTAGTTTCCTCGACCCCCAATACTTTGCATTTACTCATCTCTGCACACATAAGCTACTCAAGGGCAGAGGCTGTTTAATTTTTCTCGTCTGGCACAATGTCCGGCACACAGCAATCGCTTAGTAAGTGCTCTAAGTGAACTGAAAGATCTCTTTTCGGAGGTGACACTTGAACTGAGTCATGAAAACAGCTACGAATCTAAGGAGCCAGATATGAGATAATTCCGGGATGGAGAGGAAAAGAAGCCTTTGCAAAGGAAGAGGCAAGTGAGATACGGAGTATGTAGTAACGAGAGGAAGAATAATGTTTAATAAACCTGGAAAGAGCTTCGTATAAAGTATTTAGGACAAACTGCCCACCCTCTAAAACAAACTTCAATTGCGTCCCAGTCTGAAACAGTCCGTCCCGCAGCGGTCGGTGAAGAGCGGACACAAGGCTTAACAAGCACGGACTCGCTGTGTCTGGGAGCGAGAGGCTACATAAAGGGCCGGCCCCTTCCGGGCCCGGGGAGCCCGCACCCCCATAACCGGCCCCTAGGGCGCACATGCTCCCCACCACTTCCCCTCCCTTCCCCCCGGGGCTCCCTCCGCGGCGCCTCGTGTCCTCAAGCCCGCCATATGGGACCGTGAAACTGGAGCGACTCCCTCCCGTCCCCATCTCCGACTCCGAACAGCCCGCCGGCGCCTCCTGCGTCCCTCCGCCCGCTCCGAGCTCCATTCATCCACTTGGAGTAAAACTCCACGAGAAGGCGGCGCGTGGCTCCCGGGACAAGCGCCGGAGCCCGCCGCGAGCTCGGGCGGGGGGAGGGGGCCAGAGGCGGCCGAGGGCTTTATGAATGAACTGGCTCCACGAGGCCGGACGCCCGCTCCTTCCCGCCGCCGCCGCCGGCTCCCCTCCCCCCACGCCATGGTCCGGGCCTACGGCCGCCCCGCTTCCCCGCCGACCCCGACCGGGGCTCCGACGACGCCGGCGGCCCCCTCCGCCCTTCCGCAACGCTGCCTGCCTCAGGACTCCGCTATGCCCTCCCGAGAACAAGGACCGGGCGGCTCGAACTCACTTGTCTTTTTCTGTGCCGAAAATGGAGGCCAAATACTCCGCCATTTCCCACCCGCCGCTGCCGCTGCCGCCGCCACAGCCGGACGCTGGCGGACACGTCACCCGAACGCGACGGCGTCAGTCACGGCCCATCCTCTCCACAAGAGGGGCCGGCCCCTGCGGCCAATCACGCTCGCGCTCGGCGCGGCGACGCGGCCGAGCGGGGCGGGCGGGGCTGCGGCGCCCCTCCGCGGCGGATGCCTTCCCGCCATCTCGTCTCGGCTGCGTCCTCTGTCGCCGGCCGCGTTCCTATTTCGGCCCACCCTGGGTGGGTTCGAAAGTGCAGGCATCCCCTGCTTCCTTTCCTTTTGTTTTTCACGTATTTCGTTGTCTTCCTTGTCACCTATCAACTTCACCCAGGGTTTTAAAATTTTTCCATGTTTTTAATTCTCCCCCTTCACCTTCCTTACTTTAAAGTTTTCCCCGCGACTAGAACATCCCTTATTAATGCACGTATCCCCAGAAACTTAGTGATAATCAAGGGGAGTTTTGAAAACACAGCCAAAATAAATGAATAGGCAGCCCCAAATTTCCCTTTCCAGGCAAAAAGTTATGCGTTATTTTAAGGCCGTATCCCCCGCTTTCAACCCCAACATTTCACCTTTGCGGGTGGGGTGGTGGGACACGTGGCCTAAGAAGTGCCTGCCTGTAGCCGGCGGAGAAATACAGCAGGCTGGCTCTATAGACCTGCTTCCTAGTGTTCATTTTCACTTAAATTCCAGTGTTAATTCTCTTTTTTTCTTAATTTTTTTTCAGTGTTAATTTTTTTTTCTTCTTTGATTTTTTTTTCAGTGTTAATTTTCACTTAAATTCACCTAGTTAAGAGTCAGCCTGTATTTCTTTTCTCTCTAATTATCTTGTCAGTTTCCATGCCGCTTCCTTCCCTTCCCCCACCGCAACCAGCCTGGCATGTTTTGGAAAACCCTTGTGATTGTATGTAAAGTAACACGAGAAAAACACAGGTAAGATACAGATTCCCCTAAGTTCACACAGACCAGGTCAGTTTCTGGCTCATTGCACTCACAGGGAGTTCTCTAGGGAAATATCTATTATATCAGGGCACATATAGTGAATTAAAAGTATATAGAAAATAATGTAACATACAGTTTAAGTTTCCTTAAATGAGGGTAACAGTGTCCCCAATTACTGAATGGGCAGCTAAATGTACAATATGTAATATTAGGCATGGGGGTAGTCTTTATTTCACCCATGACAGAAAATGCTTGTAAAAGACTCACCTAAAACACTCCCTGAGAAAAGATTAAAAACACATTAGGATTTCTTTTAAGAGGTGACCAGAGGATACTTTAAATTTCTTCTTTACCCTCTGGTTCTAAGATATCTGGACAGTTTTCTTTTATTGAAGTATGATGTCTAGGTTCATTTTGTTGCTGTTCATAGCTTTCAGATAGTCTAATGATTATTAAATTATCCTTGATCTGTTTTCTAGGTTGGTTGTTTTTCCTGTGAGAGATTTCATATTCTATTTTTTCAGTTCTTTTGATAAGATCTAGCGGCTTACAGGTGCTGGAACCCCAAAAATACGACATGGGGGTCCTGTCCGAAAGAATTGGACCCAAGCCTTCTTTCAGCCAAAGACAAGGTTTATTAAAGATCCGCCATGTTGGCCAGACTCTTAAAGAATCTGATCACCTGTGAGCTATTGGCTAGATTGTAAAAATCTCAGCAGTGGCTAGATTATAAGAATCTGAGCATCTTAATGGAGACAAGATGGACCTTATATACAGAAAGACTATGGGAGAGAAGACAGTGGAGGGCTAGGCTGAGTTAAGGGTAACAGAATGGAGAGATTGGACTTAGCCACAAAGAAAGACCAGTTGATAGGACTATAGCCTCAGGTGAACACCAGAGATTTGGCCATGTGGGAAAGTCCAGGGTTTTTCCTTTCTGGGGTCCAGATCCCAACCCCATCACTTTGACTTTTTGTTTCTTAATGTATAATGGCATCATTAACTGTCATTTGGCCAATTCTGATTTTTTTTTATTTTTAGGCAACTGGGGTTAAATGACTTGCCCAGGGATCACACAGCTAGTGTTAAGTGTTTGGGCTGAGGCCGGATTTGAACTCAGATCCTCCTGACTTCAGGGCCACTGCCACCTAGCTGCCCCCAATTCTGATTTTCAAGGAGTTATGTCTGCCCTAGACTTCTGGCCTTTTCTGCTTTTCTGCTGCTTTTATAACTCAGGCTAGGAGCTTGCAACCTTTTAGTGCTCCCAAAATGGTGTGATCCCTAGTGAGGTTGTTCATTCTCCTCCTGCTCTGAGTTCTGCAAGTTTCTGAGCCAGCTTTGGTTCAGTCAGCTTGTTCTCCATTAGAGGTTTTAGAAGATTGCTCCTGGACTTATTTTCTGTTGGCCTGATGAGAGTCTCTGCAGCTTCAGGGTAACTGAACCAATGGATCCCCTTTGATCTGAGACTCCTGCCCTGATTATTCCACTGTGGGTTATACTGGACCAAAGGCTGGAACTGAGACACCACTCTGCTCCTGGTATCAGAGCCACACAACTACTAGTTGCTTCCAGAACTTGTTCCTTGCTCAGTACCACAGCTAGGGCCAAAGCTGAAGACCTCTCCTCCCGGTCCTGGATATGTGACCCAGAACTGGGTAGTCTGGGTGACAAAAGATACCAGATGGCACTTATTCCTGTTCCCAGCACTTGTTTAGGGATCCCTTGGGATTTCTGTCTGCCCTAGGTCTTCCTACCCTTATGTCCTGTCTCAGCCCTCTTTCAATCCCTACTTGCCAGATTGTTACCCAGGTACTGCATGCTCCTGGCTACCCTCACCCCCATTATCCTCAGACCTTTTTGTTGGTCTCCCTAAGTCACCCTAAGCTGGAAATATGATTCTCTATGTCTTTTTCTTGGTTTTCTTCATCAGAATTCAGTCTGGTGCATTTTCTCTAGACTTCTGAACAACATTACTCCTACCTCTCAGCTTAGAACCTTGCCTTATATTTTACTGGAAAAAAAAATCATTCCATGAAAGGTCCCTCTTATCCCCTCCTCATCTCACATCAACCAGATGCCTGTTGCCACTATGTTCACCTTCACTCTTGTCTCACATTACCACTTCTAGGTCTGTACCTCAAAGAGATCATAAAAACAGGAAAAGGACCCACACGTACAAAAATATTTATAGCAGCTCTTTTTGTGTCGGCCAAAAATTGGAAATTAAGGGGATGTCCATCAATTGGGGAACGGCTGAACAAGCTGTGATATATGAATGTAATGGAATACTATTGTGCTATAAGAAATGATGAGCAGGTGGACTTCAGAAAAACCTGGAAAGACTTGTATGAATTAATGCTGAGTGAAGTGAGCAGAACCAGGAGAACATTACGGTAACAGCAGCATTGTACGATGACCAACTTTGATAGACTTAACTCTTCAGCAATGCAGGGATCTAAGACAACTCTGAAAGACTCATGATGAAAAAAGCTATCCACATCCAGAGAAAGAACTATGGAATCTGAATGCAGATGGGAGCATACTATTTTCTCTCCTTTTCTTTTGTTGTTTTCTTTTGACTCTTCTTTCTTGTGGTTCCTCCCATGGGTTCTAATTCTTCTTTACATCATGACCAATGTGAAAATATGCTTAATATAAAAAAAAAAGAGGTGACTCTTTTCCTTACTAAGGCAAACCTCTCTCTACATGCATCCTTGATCCCATTCTGTCTCATCTTCTCCAACAGATTGCCCCTTCCATCCACCCTACCCTCTCATTTATTTTCAGTCTCTTCTTGTGAGGCAGCTAGATGGCCCAGTGGATAGAGAACTGCCCTAGAGTCAGGAGGACCTGAGTTCAAATCTGGCCTCAGACCCGTAACACTTACTAGCTGTGTGACTGTGGGCAAATCATTTAACCCCATTGCCTAACCAAAAAACAAAACAAAACAAAAAAAATCAATCTCTCCTTGCTAACTGGATGCTTCACTACTGCGTACAAAAATGCCCATGTCGGGGCAGCCAGGTGGCACGGTGGATAGAGCACCAGCCCTGAAGTCAAGAGGACCTGAGTTCCAATCCGGCCTCAGACCAAACACTTGACACTTACTAGCTGTGTGACCCTGGGCAAGTCACTTAACCCCAATTACTTTAAAAAAAAATCTGTGTCTCTTCCATCCTCAAAGAACCCTTACTTGATCCATCCATCCCTGCTAGCTAGCATCCTATATCTCTCCTGCCTTTTGTGGCTAAACTTTTTGAGAAGGAGCTATCTACAATTGGTACATTTACTTCCTTTTCTCTCACTCTCTTCTTAATTCTCTACTTTCTGGCTTCTAACATCACGATGCAACTAAAACCACTTTTCTCTAACGTTACCAATAATTTAACTTTGTAGGAAGGAATGGGAGATGTCCCCGGATATAGAAAGAGGCCCACTTGTGGCAAAGAGAGGCTGTTGTATGACTCAAAAAGAGGCAGAATAGATATTTCTAGCCTCTTCTCTCCCTACCTTTCTCCAAGAAGTTTCATTCCTTCCTGGAGGGGAATCAGGAGGCCTTTCTGCTCTCCTCAGAAAGAGGGGGTACCTACTGAGCTAAGTAAATCTATCTACTATATCCCTACTATATCTGTCTGCTCCCTTAAATATTATTAGTCTAGAGAGTATGACCAAGTTCATCCTAACTTCTGATTGCTTTGTTACTTGGGTAGGGGGAGGAGGGCCCCAAGCTCTATATCTGAGTCTTGACCCCTTTCCCACCAAATACCAGTTCCACAATGAATAGAATAGAGAATAGCAAAGAAAATCCGTTTATCCAAATTGGTAGCGAACAAAATCAGAGAAGGTATACATAGGAGAATACGTATCAGCCAATACGGTGTGAAGAGTCTCTCTCTTTAGGAGCTAGGTAACTCAGTTCAAATAAGAGAAATTATCATTGATCTCACCACTCCACATTCAACAAACTCTGGTGGCTCCCTGTTACCTCTAAGATCAAATATAAAATCCTCTGTTTGAAAGTTGAAACCCTTCACAACCAAGACACTCCAACTCTAGACTCAAAGCATTTTCACTGGCTGTTCTCTATGCTTAGAATACTCTCCTTCCTCTTCTGCCTCCTGCCTTTCCTGGTTTCTTCTCAGCTAAACTTCCACCTTCTATAGGAGGTCTTTCCTAATTCCCCTTTAGGGTAGTGTCTTTTATTTGTTGGTTATCTCCAATGTATCCTATAAATAGCTTATTGGTATGTAGTTGTCTTCATGTTCCCATTAGATTGTGAAATCTTTGACAGCAGGGACTGCCTTTTGTCTTTCCTTGTATCCTTAGCACTTCTTGGCACATGCTTGGTACTGTGACTGACTAAAATGTTTTTGGGAATTTTCATTTTGAGGTTTCTTTCAGGAGATGACCAGTGGATTCTTTCTATTTTTTTGCCTTCTGGATCTAAGAAAACTGGGAAGTTTTCTTTTTATGATTTCTTGAAATAAGCAATCTAGGCCCTTTTTTTGGTCAAAGCTTTTAGGTAGTCTAACAGTTTTAAAATTCTGTCTCCTATCTGATTTGAGGTCAGTTGTTTTTGCTATTCTATGCCTTGCATTTTCTTCTATTTTTTTCCAGTCTTTTGACTTTGTTTTGGTATTCCTTGTCACATGAAGTTATTTGTCCATTCTAATTTTTAAGGAGTTTGTTGCTTGGGCAAAGTTTTGTGCCTCTTCTAAAGCTGTTAATTTTCTTTCTAAACCTTTCTTTTTTTCATTTTTTCTCTAGTATTCTCATTTAATTTTTAAAATTAATTAATTTATTTTTAGTTTTCAACATTCACTTCCACAAGATTTTGAGTTCCAAATTTTCTCCCCATCTTGTCCCTCCCCCCACCCCAAGATGGCACGCATTCTGAATATCCCTTCCCCTAATCTGCCCTCACTTCTATTTCTCCCCCACCTTCTCTTAGCACCTTCCCCTTCAATTTTCTTGTAGGGCAGGATAGATTT